TTTCAGAACTTTACAGAACTTATCAAGATTATTCTTGTGGCGTTCTAACCTGACTTATCATTCTCGTTCTTAATCGTTTGAGGGTGTGGCGTCAACCAACTTTATACCTCTGGTTCTTGTTGCGTCATAGACAACGGGTCAAGGTTTTTACCTTTGGTTCTTGTTGCGTCATAGACAACGGGTCAAGGTTTTTACCTTTGGTTCTTGTTGCAACATAAACAACGGGTCAAGGTCCTATCATAAACCTGATTTAGCTTTCCTGGATTTTACAAATCCCTTGTCGTGCTGTGGGTCTCATTGTTCTCTTTGGGGTTCCCATCAATAGATTTTGAATCTATAATTTTGTCATTTATTCATGCAACAAACCCCACACTAGGGATCACAACGAACCCTCGTGCCTAGGTTCGCAACAAACTTAGTGAACCTAGGCACCTAGGTTCGCCTTTCCAAATCTGATTTCTAGAAGGCAAAGGTAAAAAAAAAAAAAAAAATGAAGGCTGGAAGGAGAGGATAAGACAGAAGGGGGAAAAAGATGAGGGCAAATTAGTAATTAAAGTCAAGTACTCCTAATCACAAAATAACCTTTAGAATATTTATAATGGTAATTATGTAATTAAATGATTTTTAAGGTCATATTAGACTAAAAATCTGGCTATGTCATCAATTTTTGCTAGATGGACTTTCCACATAATTTAAGTAACGAAAAAAAATAAGTTTTTCCGTTAATTAACCTACCACATCAGCCAAAACTTAACGAAAGGACTAAAAAGTGACCGGATTTCAAACTTTAAAGACTACAAAAGGGATTTTTTCAACATGGGGACTAAAAAGGGGCTTTTTCCAATCGTAGAGGGACCAAAAAGGGTATTTAACTTAAATTTTTTAACAGGTGGCAATCAATTAACAGAATTGTATGATGTGGAAAATCCACTTTGTAAAAAAGAAAATGATGTGGACATATTTTTTAGTTCTCATCGGCATTTCATATAAAAATATTAGTTTTTTGGTAAAAATAAATTTTTATTTCTCAATATTTGAATTACAATATGATTAACTTTAATTATTTATTAACTAACTTTAATGACTCATTTAAGTCTCATTATATTAAATCATTTATGTTTAATTGGATTAGAACAAAAAGAAACAATTTCTTCTTGTCTGTTCGTCAAATAATCATGTACAAATTTACAAATTCTCAATTATTAACAAATCATCTGCAATGGATTCAACCCTAGATTTCTTATTGCATGTTCAAAATTAAAACACAATTTTTGGAAATCACTAAGGTTATGTTTGGGAACATGTGTTTGTAATTAGAATGTGTATTTGAAATACATGTATTTAAAATACATATATTTTAATATACATTGTTTGGATTGAAATAAGAAAAATGATTTTCAAATACATGTATTTTTAAATTAATTATTTGGATATTTTAAAATACTATGCATTTAAAATTGAATTTTTTCTATTAAATTAAATATTCATCTTATTATTATTCAAATTTAATAAAACCAAAGTTAACAATTTTAATCTTCTAAGGCATTATTTAAATTAACTCAAGACAAACAAATTGGATAAAAAAAAAAAAAAACAATGACCTCTACTAATCAATTTGTCTTCATGTTCTGCATTTTCTATCCATTTTTTCTTAAATATGCTTCTTTTGATTAAAGGATAGGTGCAATAGTTATCCCATGAAATTAATTTTAAAAAAATTAAGCATACCCAAAAAAACCTACACACCAATCACGTTGGGTCCTAGATTTTTTTAATAAAGATACTTCCCTAACCCAATGATAGCCGTCAAAATCCGTATCTAACCCACAAAGACACGATCATAGAAGTGAATCACTTCCCATCTCGATATTCGCCCCCACCCCCTTCCCTTTTGACGTGTTACTACTTAAATTGGATTTTAAATCTGCATTTAAAGTCCGCCCTTTGAAAAATCTAAAACACACACACATTTCCACAGTGGCATGCTTCTCTGCCTCTGGACTCTTGGATTTGATTTCCAAACTCTAGATCGACCACCAACTTGGCGGATTTCGGTGAGTCCTTCAAATTTTTCTATCTCTCAACTCTCTCTCTTTTTTTTTGTTCTTCTTTGTTAATTCTTGGTTTCGGATGTTTTGCTTTTGATTTTGCAATGATTTGTATAGTTTTTGAAGTCACAATGAGGCTTCATCATCGTTAGGGTGTGGAGAAAATGCAAGGTTTGAAATTGAAATCCATGGGTTTAAGGATGACTTTGAAATACACAGATTTTAAGTCTTTCAAATACCCTGGGTAAAATACATGTATTTTACTTAAATCCAATTACGTTTTATTTAGGGAAAAACAAACAATAATATTGAATTTGAAGTGTTGAAATTCAAATACACTTTATAAAATTCATGTTCCCAAACAGAGCATAATATAATTTCTACTGCAATTACCACTTAATTTTCTCATATTGTCTCTAACTTTCTAAGAAACCAAATAACAAAACCACTTCTAGTCAAAGAAAACAAGGATGATGATGGATGTAGTGACGCAATCCATGTCTAATTAGCATCAAAACAAGCAAGAAAACAAAACTACTTTCAATAGAAAATTTTGGGTTTTGATTAGGGATTACATGGCAACCTCTAAGGTGTGTGACAAGAACCCAGATTTGGGTTCCTTACTCAAGGCTCGCATGATAGTGATGAACCCAGATCTGGTTTGGACAGAGGAGAAGAGGAAGAGAGAAGAGAAGGAAATGAGGAAAAGACCTTGGAAGGGTATCCATGGTTTGGTAACGATTTTGTTGAAGTTGTCACCATTTGGTGCATGAATGGGCCAACAACGGTGATGGTAAGAGCTACTAGTGGCATAGATTGTGGAAACTAGGGGTTGAGGAAGGAAGAATGAGCCATTGGATTAGGGTTTTTTGAATTGCATTTAGATCTAAAAGAAAGATAAGGCAGGAGAAGAAACCAAATCTGGGTAGGGAAACCAGATCTGGGTAGGATTTGAACCACGACCTTAGATTGGCAATTGCATCCAATAAGATCAGATAATGAGATCTGAAATAACCTCAACTCATGTAGATCTGGAGCGTTTGTCATGGGACTTATCATCTCCATCATGGTTGCCTCTAGTGTTGAGCATAATGTCAACTTTGATCAAACCATCCATTGATTTTTTCATCCAGGATATATAAGAACAGGTTGTTGAAGAAAGATAAGAGCTTTGATGGAGACAAAGATTGGTGTGAAGATTTGAGGGCTTTGATGGAGGAAGGGTTAGGGTAGAGAGAATCAATGAATGAAAGGAGGATTAGGTTCAAGCAAAGGTAGAGATGATTAGGGATTTGGGTTTAGGAAGAAGATGAGGACAAAAATGGGAAAAGAAAAGACAAAGGGAAAATGATGATTTAAAAAAAAAACTATATTAGACCCTATTGATTACATGGAAAATAAATTTTATTGTCAATTCATCAATTTTGCAACATGTAATTACACGTCAACATTAAAAAGAAAAAACAAAACAAAATATTTAACAGATTATCGTGCCACGTTGTGACTTAACTGACTGAAAGATCAACAAGGAGTCGAATTTTAAACTTTAGAGACTAAAAAGAGGCTTTTTTAAGTAAAGGGACTAAAAAAGGGTTTTTTTTTTTTTGTTAAAGTAGAGGGACCCATAAGGGATTTTAACCTAGTTGATATTTCCATTATAGAATCTTTTTTGCCACAAAAATCATTCTACCAAAAACCCCAAAAGAGAACAAATTGATTTTTGATTGCTAATACCTTAAGAGACTTGGTTTTCTTTGAATCCCTTAGCATATGTGTAGATCACCCCTAGAGGAATTCTACACTTGGAATCTTTGGTGGCTTCATTGAAGGATGATGGTTAGATCTACACATCAATGAGGCACGTATCATTAACCTTTCCTTAACTGTCAATGAATTCATAAGGATCCTAGGTGGGTTAAGAGAGGACAAGGTTAAATTTGTGAATTCAAGGATCTTAGGTAGGTTGAAAGAGGACAAGGTTAAACTTGTGAAATTTTTGCTTCTGTTGTGCCTTTCTAAACCCTACATTTAGGAGTTTCATTATTTGATATTTGTTAAGAGCTTGATTTTCTTTCCCTTATATTCGAAACAATTAAGGGATATATTCAGTCATCAATTATGAATTGAAGTGTTAAATCTAAGATATGCATATCAATGGAGCTTAGTGTGCATTTTGTAAGTTAATCTTAAATGAATTTCATGAAATAAAACTTGAATTAGATTCTATTATGAAGTTATAAAATGTGACCATTTGTAAATAGGTTCTGAGCCTTCTACATTTGTAGAATTTATCTATAAGTGTATGGTGTCTGCATGCCCCTAGTTTTGTGGCATGACAGGTAGTGTAACTAACATCCAAAGTGTTTGAAGCAAAGTTGATGGGAATCAAGACAACAACATATCTACCACGTCATGTGATCCATTACACACCCAAGGAGGTCCAGTCACGCGAGCTAGAGCTAAGAAGATGCATGAAGCTTTAAATGGTCTTATTGAGCAGATCTGGGTTGAAAACAACATACAACAAGCAAATCGAAGCTTGGATGATTATCAAGGCATGATAAACATCATTCAGGTTCAAGAGAAGCTCAATTGAGGTCATCTATGCTAAATTACACAGTTTGCGTCAATCTCGCAATTCTGTTGCAATTTGTAACAAACTGATATTTCATGTTACTTTAGGCTACTTTTAGTGATTTTCACATTTTTTATATTATTTTGGGCTGAATATTCATTTATTTAAGGCTCAATTCATGGTTATTATGATTAGGGCTTAGGGTGTTAATTTCCTATTCTGATTAGAATTACTTTTCCCTATTTAAAGGGCTTGTAACCCTAATTGAGAAAGGTTATTGAATTTGAGATTTTGAGAGACTTTTCTCTTTAGTTCGTTTCAGAACTTTACAGAACTTATCAAGATTATTCTTGTGGCGTTCTAACCTGACTTATCATTATCATTCTCGTTCTTAATCATTCGAGGGTGTGGCGTCAACCAACTTTATACCTCTGGTTCTTGCTGCGTCATAGACAATGGGTCAAGGTTTTTACCTTTGGTTCTTGTTGCGACATAAACAACGGGTCAAGGTCCTATTATAAACCTGATTTATCTTTCATGGAGTTTAGAAATCCCTTGTCGTGCTGTGGGTCTCATTGTTCTCTTTGGGGTTCTCATCATCTTGGTATCAGAGCATCAGATCCCTTAATCAGGTTTGCGTATCTTTAGTTTTTAGTTTTTACATCAAAAAAAAAAAATTAGGGTTCTTTTCTTTCTTGTCTGCAACTCTTTTCATTTTGTTCTGCTGAATCTGTGTTGCTGGTTTTGGGGAAAAAAAAAATCAGAGAGAGAAAAGCACGAAAAAAAAAAAAAAAAAAAAGAGGAGAGAAGTCGTAGAAAAAAAAAGAAGAAAAAAAAACGAAAAAAAAAGGAGAGAGAAACAAGCAACACAATTCTGTGGTTGGAATTCTTTATATAGAGAAGAAATCAATGGCCAAATCCTTAAAGAAGAAGGAATCCTACTCCAGTAAAAAGTTGGAAGAAGGAATTCTACTACAATAAGGAGTTGGAAATTTTCTTTGAATTCTGTTGAAACAAGGAAATAGCAATTTTGTTTATTCCTTCCTAAGTTAGGAATCCTACTACATTAAGGAATAGAAATCCCACTACAAATAAGGAGTTGGAAAATTTTCTTTGAATTCTATTCAAACAAGGAGATAGCAATTTTGTTTATTCCTTCCTACGTTAGGAATCCTGCTACATTAAGGACTAGTCAAGTCAATTCCTACTAGGAAGTGCTTGAACTGATCTGTTCATTTTAATTTGTTTGGGTTGGTTCTTTTATTGCTTTTCTTGGTCGTTCCTTTGTGTCTTTTTGTTTCCTTTAACTCTTGCAGATTTGTTGGAGTTAGATTGCTGCAAAATAACTTGAATTGAGCTTGTTTAGTTCAATAACAAACTGAAAGAGAAAAGTTGAATGAGGTAAAAAGGCAAGAGGTGTGAGCAATACTTAAGAGAAAAGCCAAGTTCTATAGTGTGCAAAACACGAGCGTTGAGTGCCATTCTGTGAGAGAGTGGAGTGAAACATGTAAGGGAGTGTTGAGAGGTCCTTTTATTTTCTGTTTCT